ATGTTCTTATGAAGGCCTCGGCCTCTATGCCCTGTTGTTGGCCCTCCAGAGGAACTGTTGTTGGCCTCTGTGTGAGACAGGATGCTGGACTAGATGGATCACTGGTCTGATCCAGCAGGGCTCCTCTGATGTTCTTATGAAGGCCTCGGCCTCTATGTCCTGTTGTTGATCCTCCAGAGGAACTGGCTGGCTGCTGTGAGAATCAGGATGGTGGACTAGACGGACCATCAATCTGATCCCGCAGGGATCTTCTTTCCCGGGAACACCCTGTTACTAGCCCTGTAGAGGAACTGGTTGGCCACTGTGTGAGGCAGGATGCTGGACTAGATGGACTATTGGTCTGATCCAGCAGGACTCTTCTGATGCTCTTTTCCTTATGAGGAAAGGCTGAAAGAGTTGGGTATGTTTAGCCTGGGAAAGAGAAGGCTTAAGAGGGGACATGATTGCAGTCTTCAAGAATTTGAAGGGCTGTCATGTAGAAGATGGAGCAGATCTATTCTCTCTTGCTCCGGATTGCCAGACTAGATCTAATAGGTGGAAATTACAAGGGAGTCGTTACCGGCTAAATATCAGGAGAGACTTCCTAACTGTAAGAGTGGTTGAGCAGTGGAGCAGTCTGCCTCGGGAGGTGGTAGAGGCTCCTTCGCTGGACGTTTTCAAGCGGAGGCTGGACAGCCATCTTTCTGGTATGTTGTAGGGCTCCCTTTCGGCTACGCTCCTGCAGAGTGCAGGGGGTTGGACTAGACGACCTGCAAGGTCTCTTCCAACTCTAACATTCTATGATTCTATGTTCTTATCCTCCACATTCAGAGGCACTAACCCTCTGAATCCCAGATCCAGGAGGCAACATCAGGGGAAGGCCTCGGCCTTTATGCCCTCCTGTTGGCCATCCAGTGGAGCTGGTTGTCCTCTTGAGTGAGAAAGGATGCTGGACTAGAAGGACTATTGGTCTGATCTAGCAGGGCTCTTCTGAGGTTCTTATGACAACCTCTGTGTTCTAGTATCTTGGGAGAGGGAGAAAAGGTAATTTTATAAACCTTTCTCATGTTGCCCCCTTAAGTCATTTCTTTTCTAAATTGAAAAGTCCCAGGCTCTTCAGCCTTTCCTCACAGGGAAGGCGCCCTCCTCTGTACGTTTCCCAGCTCTGCAATGTCCTTCTGGAGATACAGTGATGAGAACTGCACACGGTATTCCTAATGAGGCCGCAGCATAGATCTACACAGGGGCATTATAATACTGGCTGTTTCATTTTCAGTCTTTTCCTAATAATCCCAACACGGAGTTCGCGGCCCACTGGATTGAGCTATCCACTACGACCCCAAGGTGTTTTCTCCTCAACAAGTTCAGGCTCCATTAGCCCATACTGGAAGTTGGGATTTTTCGTTCCAGTGTGCATCACCTTCCCTTTCCCGTCAGGGAACATCATCTGCCACATTCACCTACCCCATTTTAGTGGGGAAACGTAATTAACCAGCTCCACAGGTGGGGCTAAATTCTGTGAACAGGCAACCCAAACTTTGTGTTAAGAAAAGTTAAATCCTGCAAGCTAGGCAAATGAAGCATTTGGTATATTAGGAGCTGTGGTAACTCAAGGGGTTAAGACGCTACACTGCAGGCTGTGGAAGGTCGGTAGTTCAGCAGTTCGAGACCCGAGTTGCCGCATGACGGAGTGAGCTCTTGGACTGCAGCCAGAGATTGTACTGGTATATCCCACTGTCTTAACATCCGAACTGTGTTAGTTCGAGCCCCGTGCTGGTGTGAGCAGCCAGCCTGTTGTCCCCAGCTCATCGTCAACCCAGCGATTCGAAAGCTTCGGCGAGTAGATAAAATGGGAACCACTCCTTAGAGAGGGTGGGCACACCAATCTCCCTTGTGGGAGGGTGTTAGCTGACGGTCGGGACTTCCTGGTCAAGGTCGGAAAAAGGCGAAAGAACTTTTCGGCTACAAAAAATCCCTGCAGTGGATGTCTCCGGCCAGGCGGTGGCAGTGTGGCGATGTGACATACGGGTCCTGAAGCCTGGTTGACAAGCAGCCGTTCGGAAAATGACTGAGCCAAGCCAGAAGACGTTTACGCCGTGCAGTGACAGCGTGTGCAATTAAATGAATATATGTTGTCCTCCCTATCCCCTATGAACATTGTTAGTCCCCTGTCTAAAATGTGTAACTGTACATCGCTTTGAGCCCACTGGGGAAAGCGATTAATAAATTAAAAGCATCATCATCATCATCATCATCATCATCATCATCATCATCATTACTGAGCAGTCCCTGGGGATTCTGAGACACCAGCAGACACTGCCCACCCGCCTCCCAGCATCTTACTGCCGCATAGTCATAAGGGCTCTTTTTGAAATGAGAGCCACACAGCAGAGAAGAAGAAGAGATTGGATTTATACCCCACCCTTCACTACTTGAAGGAGTCTCAGAGCGACTTACAAACTCCTTTCCCTTCCCCTCCCCACAACAGACACCCTGTGAGGAAGGTGGGGCTGAGAGAGCTCTGACAGAAACTGCCTGTGAGAGAACAGCTCTGAGAGAACTTGTGACTGACCCAAGGTCATGCCAGCAGCTGCATGCGGAGGTGTGGGGAATCAAACCTGGTTCTCCCAGATTAGAGTCTGCGCTCCCAAACACTACACCAAACTGGCTCTCCATGGCTTCGGACTGGGTTACAGGAAGGACTGTCTTCTCCCATAACTTCCTGCCTGGGAACTGGGACCACAAGGAGAGGCCCTCCTGACAGCCCCATCGATCAGAGAAGCTCGTTTGGTGGGTACAGGAGGGAGGGCCTTTTCAGTGGCAGCCCCACGATTATGGAAGAACCTTCTCAGGGAGGCGGGCCTGGCCCCTTCACTTTCAATCTTCAGATGGTTTTATTTCGGACCCGTGTCTGGTTAAGTTTATGAGCAGTCCCGAGCTGTGACTTTAAGTTTTGTTTTTTAGTGTATTTTATTTTATGTATTGTTATCTACAGCTTAAGGCGTCGAGCTCCATAAGGAAGAAAGGCGGCCAATAAAGGTGTTAAAATAAATAAATGAGGAGGCGAGGCCATCACCACCCGAGGCCAAATGAGGGCCAGGGGCAAAGGGAGCAGGAAGAGGCAGGGAGGTCGAGGAGGGTCCGCTGGAGATGCAAGAGGACACCGACGGGGGGACCAAAGACCACCTTATGAAGCAGTCTCTGGGAAGGAACCTAGAAACCTCCTAAACGACATCCAATCCAATAATGTGACCACGCGTCTAGCAGTGTTCCCTCTAAGCGGAGTTAGTGTGAGCTAGCTCACAGTTTCTTAGCCTCTGGCTCACACATTTTTGTCTTCGCTCAGGAAGGACGGGGTTCCAGAGCAAATTCATTTCTGCAGTGGCCAAATCGCTCGCTCACAACTTTAACGCCTGTAGCTCACAAAGTAGAATTTCTGCTCACGAGACTCCGCAGCGTAGAGGACGCGCTGGCGCCCAGGCAAGCCCTTCACCCTCCGTATCCCTGGTGGTGATCCCTGGCCCTGGCCTGGTGGCAGTCTCTGTCAACTTCCATCAGGGCCCTGCAGGACTTAATGTCGTTCCGCCAGGCTTTTGGTTGAGGACGGCAACAGTTTCCCATCATTGCTGGCACCCTCTTTTCTTTTCTCCCATTCTGGTGTTTCTTCTAGTTTGGTGTAGTGGTGAAGTGCGCGGACTCTAATCTGGGAGAACCGGGTTTGATTCCCCCACTCCTCCACTTGCACCTGCTGGATGACCTTGGGCAAGCCACAGTTCTGGCACAGCTGTTCTTGAAAAAGAGCAGTTTCTGTCAAGAGCTCTCTCAGCCCCACCCACCTCACAGGGTGTCTGTTGTGGGGAGGGGAAGGGAAGGAAAAGGGAGTTTGTAAGCTGCTCTGAGACTCCCTTGGGTAATGAAGGGCAGGGTATAAATCCAATCTCCTCTTCTTCTTCTTCCTCCTCCTCCTCCTCCTTAACGTGCCCAAAAGACAGAAGGAACACTCCAGAGTAGGTTTTAGATTAAATTACGTATGCCCTCAGGAGACTATTAAATTAAGGCCCCAGTCACACGGGCAGGAAAATGCGGGGGGGAAGCGTGGCTGTTTGCCCTGGAGCAAAATAACGCGCGGCTGCGCAATCAGACGTCTCATAGAGGTCCCATAGAGGTCCCGTGGTTAGGGGGTAGGTGCCGATCACAGGACAATCCTGTGGCACGGCAAAGAAGCAGCCTCTCTAGCAAAAGGCTCCGTGGGTTTAACCCCTTCCAGGGCGGCAGAGGAATGCAAACTGTGTCCTCCGTCCGGTCCCCTCCAGGAGGAGCGTCAGCCGGGCCGCCCTCCCGCCATGCCCCCCTTGCACCTCCCCCCCTGCCGCCCAGTGCAGAGAGTTCCTCTCCAGCAGGCCGAGCCAGGAGTGGGGGGGGTACGGAAAAGAGGAGGGGGCTGTGTTGTTTGTTTTTAAACGAAGTGTGCGCATGCGCCATTGGGTGCTTGTGCGCATCCCGTGGAGACTTGGGAAAAAAAACACCTTTTAGCTACAGGACATGGGCGGGCGCCGGATGCCACGACCTACCACTGGAAACGCGATCAGGCGCCCGTCCTTGCCCCGCGGTTTCCGGAAACTAGTTTTTTACCCCACATCTTCGGCAGGAAGCCTCGGGTTTGCCACGGGAGCTCTACGCTTCCCAGATGTGGCACTGTGATCGCGCCCGGAAAATCCACCTGTCTTCCGTCTCTGTAGCGTGGCTAATGCTCCGTGTGACCGCAGCCTAAGAATAACTGATTTGTTGGTTTTAATCTGTGGTTTTTTTTTGTATAGTTCTTAACCTGTTATAAAACGGCCAGAGCCTTGTGTACTCGTGGACTGGGCGATCCAGAAATTAAATGAATGAATAAATAAAATGTTCACGGGCCGCAAAAGCAGCCGGGATCACTCACGCCTGCTGGAAGCGCCTCATGCTGTCCAGGATGTTAAACTGCTGCCAACGCTTGGAAAAGTTCACTTTGCCTTCGATGTAATCCGGGTTCCCCAGGTGGACGAAGGTCAAGTCCTGCAGGATGAGGCCTCTGCAGAGAAGGAATGAGAGGCCAGAGAAGACTCCCTGGTTATCACTGAAGCTTGTTACCCGCACGCCCCCTCAAGCGTCTCTCTGAGACGCAAAGGTTATTCAAAGACGCACCAAACAAACAACTGCAAACCAGAGAAGGCGGCCCACCAGTGGGAACCCCCCCCCCCAAAGGAGCAACTACTCACAAGTAGGGTATGCAAGGAGGTTCCACCTCTGAGAGAGCCGCTCGATATGCCCGGAAGGAGGAAGAACTGTCGATCAGTGTGCAGTACTCAGCCAGGCCCTGGCAGGATGCAAGATACAGTGATCAGACAAAATTAAATTTGATTACCTTCTGTCCGATATGAACCATGAAACAATCCGAATAGTGGCTAAACTTTGTGCACAGGTGTACAAAGATCAGAAAATGCATACGGTAGCTTGAGTGAAATGTTTAAAAGTTGCAAAATTTGATCCGTTTGCTTTTATGTAAACCTTTTTGTATGTTGGTCATTGACTGTAAAATAAAATTGTTGTTGTTGTTGTTAAGATGCAGCATGTGACTTTGTTCCGTTGGTTTATTTAGAAAAAGGTGCTGCGCTGAGATCCTCAGAAGACTGAATTCTCGCCTAATACCGTTTCTGGTGGCGATTCTGAGATCCCACGGAATCATGGCGCATACACAACCCCACTCATCCTCAAGGGGCTTCTATAAGGATGACAAAGAGCAGGGCCTTTTCAGCCGTGTCCCCAGGAGAATAGAATGACCTCCCAAGAGAGATTCAGTTGCACACCTCTCCTCAGGCTCTCCAGGTGACTATGCAAAAGACTGAACAACTCAGGGGCTGGGGGGGGGGGGGGTTGGGGGGGGGGGGGGCTGTAAGAAGTGCAGATCCATTCTCAGAGGCGAGAACGTAAGAACAGCCCCGCTGGGTTGGACCAAAGGTCTACGTGGCTCAGCATCCTGTGTCCACCAAGGGCCCAAAAGCGGGGCATGAAGGCAATGGTCTTCCCTCTGCTACTGCCCTCTCGGCAACTGGAACGCAGAGGTACGCTGCCACTGCACCAAGAGGCTACTGTGGCCAGTTTGGTGTAGTGGTTAAGTGCGCGGACTCTAATCTGGGAGAACCGGGTTTGATTCCCCACTCCTCCACTTGCACCTGGCTAGATGACCTTGGGCAAGTCGTAGTTCTGACAAGAGCTGTTCTTGAAAAAGAGCCGTTTCTGTCGGAGCTCTCTCAGCCCCACCTACCTCACAGGGTGTCTGTTGTGGGGAGGGGAAGGGAAAGGAGTTTGTAAGCCGCTCTGAGACACCTTTGGATAGTGAAGGGCGGGGTGTAAATCCAATCTCTTCTTCTTCTTCTACTAGCCTTTGGCAGCACTGGCCTCCGTGTGGTGCAGGGAACCGTGGCCCTGTGGCACCCCAGGGGTCAGAGCAGCCTTCAGCCCTCCTAACTGGCTAGCTCCTGAGGTGTCTAGCAGGAGGAGGGAGACTGGGTGCCGTCAGCCTGCCCAGACATATCAGGCAAATGGGGGTGGGGGGTGGGGAGGCAGAGGTGAGAATGGAGGCCTACAGGACCAGGGCTGGTCGTAGCAGAGCCGGAAGGCCGGAATGTGGGCCTTTTCGGAAGTGGCCCTCGTGCTTTGGAACAGACTCTCTCTCGGGGCCCAAGGAACGAGGGCTGTTTCCAGATAATGTGGCTGCCCCAAGCAAGATACACACAACGCAATACTCCCTCTAAGCTTGCAAATCTTGTGAGCAAAAATTCTACTTGGTGAGCTGCTGGCATTAAAGCTGTGAGCCAGCGATTAGTTTGCTCTGGAGCCCTCCTTCCTGAGCTCAGACAAAAACCTGTGAGCCGGAGGCTAAAAAACGATGAGCTGGCTCATACTCACTCAGCTTAGAGGGAACACTGCACACAAGCGCCCCCCCCCCCCCCGCCCCCGGTTGGCCCGACCCCGGCCCATGGGATGCCGGTCCCCTCCCCTGCTGCTGATAGCTGGGAGTGAACAGCATCACCCCCAGTGAGAGAACCAAGACTTGACTTGGGAAGGGGCCGTGGCTTGGTGGCAGAGCGTCCGCTTGGCCTGCAGGAGTTCCAGGTTCAATCCCCAACATCTCCAGTTAAAGGATCAGGCAGTGGTTGATGTGAAAGGCCTGAATCTGAGAGTATCCTGGGCTATTTTTGGGCAGGAACGCACAGGAACGGAGTTCTGGCTGGCTCCCAAGTTGGCCACGCACAGCAGGAACTCATTAGCATAATAGGCCACACCCAACAGCAGAAACTCATTAGGATTGGCTACATTAGGGGTGTGTGGCCTAACATGCAAAGGAGTTCCTGCTACAAAAAAGCCCTGGGTTTTGACCACAAACAAGGTAAACAGAATAACAAGCAAAAGGTGGGTGTGGCTGGATAACCACACTCCTGGTAACATGGGGGTGCGGCCTAATATGCTAATGAGCTGTGCTGTCAGGGGTGCGGCCTAATATGCTAATGAGTTCCTGCTGTTGGGTGTGGCCTATTATTCTAATGAGTCCCTGCTGGGCTTTTTCTACAAAAAGAGCCCTGACTGGATTCCTGACGACCCTGCAAGCCCTGAGTCGACAAATGCTGGACTTGATGGACTGAGGCCCCTTGGATTTATCTGTTCAGTGTACGGCAGCTTCACGTGCGTCCGTGTGTGACTCGTTCTATGGACGACCCGGTGAGCGGGCCTGATGGCCGAGACACTTTTGCTCAATGTTAAGGAGTGGACCCGCCCTGCACCTGCGCTGCCTTCGGGCCCCAGCTGCAGAAACCCGTGGTGAGCCACCCTGACAGTCTGGACCTAAAGTGCCCCAGGGTGCGACCGCTTGGCGACATGCATTTGTCTGATTTCCCTCTAAGTCCTGGGCCAAGCCTCAGGGCCCCTGGCCTCACCGTGCCTTCCTGTCCCAGGACACAGATGGCCGGCAGATGCAACGCCGAGTTACGGGCACGCCTCGGGGCCAGCAACCGTCGTCCTGTCTTGTGGCGGCACCTTCTATATTCCTTTTTGCCCCTCTGGGATTGCCAGCTCCAAGCCAATGCTCCCTCTCAGCTGCAGAGTCTCGTGAGCAGAAATTCTACTCCGTGAGCTCCTGGAATTAAAGTTGCCAGCGAGCGATTTGGCTGCTGCGTAAATTAGTTTGCTCTGGAGCCGTCCTTCCTGAGCAAAGACAAAAATGAGTGAGCCGGAGGCTAAAAAACTGAGCTGGCTCACACTCACTCAGCTTAGAGGGAACACTGGGCCCAGCAGAGGTAGCCAGTGGGCCAGTTTGGGAAAGGTCTCTTGCTGCTGCTCCAGCCCACTGTCGGAGGTGCATGTGCCGATATTCTGACGGCTAGACTTTTGGGAAGGCAGCATAAAACGTTTCCAAAGCAAACAAATAAATGTGTTCAAAAAAAAGAAAAAAAGAGAGAGAGAGAAAGCTCACCTCTGATGTTTGTTTCTGCCACTCGAGCCGGCGGATGGGTGCCGAATCCAGAGCGGAGAGAATGGCCAAGTAGGAGTTGAAGTTGTTGAGCTTCCGTAAGTGCTGGAGCAAAGAGTGGAGGAGAGAAATCGGAGGCTCTTCAAAGGCATTTCTGGGAGGAGGCTGGGACTGCCTCGAAAAGAATGCCCATCAGGGCCAGGCTGGGCGCGCCCACTTGAACCCAGGTCTGGGGCCTGTTCTCCAATGTGAGGGTCCCTAAGTTCAGTCGCTGGAACTAAGGTAACAGTCTACCTTTGATGGAAGTGACACACATCCTGACTAATGGAATCTTTCACACCAGAATAATCTGAAAAATTGATATGGCTACTATCCAGTTTGGTGTAGTTTGGTGTAATGGTTAAGTGCGCGGACTCTAATCTGGGAGAACCGGGTTTGATTCCCCACTCCTCCACTCGCACCTGCTGATGTGACCTTGGGTCAGTCACAAGCTCTGGCACAGCTGTCCTTGAAAAAGAGCAGTTTGTGTCAGAGTTCTCTCAGCCCCACCCACCTCACAGGGTGTCTGTTGTGGGGAGGGGAAGGGAAAGGAGTTGGTAAGCCGCTCTGAGACTCCAAGTGAAGGGCGGGATATAAATCCAATCTCTTCTCTCTTCTTCTATTTAGGGCCTACGATTTATGGCCTACAATATATATATATATATAAAGGAGCTGCGGTGGCTCAAGTGGTGAAGACGCTGAACTGCAGGCTGTGGAAGGTCGGTAGTTCAGCAGTTCGAGACCTGAGTGCCGTATGACGGAGTGAGCTCCTGTCTCTAGTTCCAGCTCCTGCCAACCTAGCAGTTCGAAAGCAAGAAATTGCAAGTAGATAAATAGGGACCACTTCGGTGGGAAGGTAACAGCGTTCCGTGCGCCTTGGTGTTTAGTCATGCTGGCCTCATGACCACGGAAACGTCTTCGGACAGCGCTGGCTCTTTGGCTTTGAAACGGAGATGAGCACCGCAACCCTAGAGTCGGAGTCGACTGGCTTTCGAGCAAGGGAACCTTTACCTTTTACACACACACACACACACACAAATTTCTTATGTGTACATTTTTGGATGTGTGTCATTGTAATACTAAGAATATTGACCACTGAGGAAGGCCCGAAGGGGCCAAAACACGTATGGTCCTTAGGTCAAAAGATTTTACCCATGTATTTGTATAATAATTAACTTGGTTATACAAGCCTTTTAAGTCTGAAACTTAGACTATTTGTTTTAACTGCTGTATGTTTTAGGTATGTGTACACCTTAATAAACATTTTTTTGTATAATATAGTTTGTAGCTTGACCCTCTCGGTTTGCAGCTGATTTTGGGTTGCGTTTCCCCCCCCCCCCCCTTTTCCAGTTTTTGCAACACGGCTGGCCACCTGGAACTATCTAAATGGCTTTTAGACTCACGCACTGCAGGAACAAACAGCTGGCAGCGCTTACCTTCATGATCTTTATAAATTTCAGCAGCAGCCTCTCTCGGTCTTGCGCTTTCTCCTGCAGCATGATGATCGAACGGACCCTGCGAGTTTGGAGAGAGAGAGAAACAGCATCACCGCAGCCATCAGGGCGGAGCGTCCAAGTGGTTTTCCCGGCCAAGAGGACCTGTGGAGCTGCTAATGGATTACCACCAGCCACACTGGGAAGCTGGCAGAGTTGCCTTGCTGGGTCTGATGGCTCTCGGAAGGAAAAAGCCTTCACCTTTCACAAACTGGAAGGGATGCCCAGCAATCTGCGTTCCTGCTACAGAGAGGGAGCGCCGAGGCGCCTGGACTGGAAGTAACCTCTCTCCGAAGAGGGAACAGAAGGCGCACCAATTCCAGGAACTCTCCAAGTGGATCGCAGAGTCCTCAAAGAGGTGGGGTTGTTGCTACTGGAAGGACTCTGTGTTATGAAGGGAAAGCAGCTGCTTTAGGTCACTTGATCAGACTGGGGGGTCTGATAGGATTTATTTTTATTCTGTTTGAAATTTATCAGTCGCTTTTCTACACAGGGAAGTAATCCAAAGAGGCATACAAATGCATACAGCCACTTGACTGCTGGAGGTGCCTCCACCAGGGCCAGGGAGAAGCATGGCTGAGCTGGGAAGCTGCCACTGAAAACAGGAACTTCGACAGGGCGTCCCTCCCCCTGGGGCCTGAAGCTCTGCGCTCCCCTGCTTCCTCCTCCAGTGGTAGCCATTGGTACAGAAGAAGAAGAAGAAGAGAGGAAGAGACTGGATTCATACCCCGCCCTCCACTCGGAGTCTCAGAGCGGCTTACAATCTCCTTCCCCTTCCCCGCCCCACAACAGACAGCCTGTGAGGCAGGTAGGTGGGGCTGAGAGAGCTCTTTCGAGGACTGCTCTTGAGAGAACAGCTCTGAGAGAACTTGTGACTGACCCAAGATTACACCAGCAGCTGCATGTGGAGGAGTGGGGAATCGAACCCGGCTCTCCCAGATTAGAGTCCGTGCTCCTAACCACTACACCAAACTGAAGAAGACAAGACGGGATTTATACCCCGCCCTTCAGTACCTGAAGGAGTCTCAGAGCAGCTTACAGTCTCCTTTCCCTTCCCCTCCCCACAACAGACACCCTGTGAGGCAGGTGGGGCTGAGAGAGCTCTTTCGAGGACTACCCTTGAGAGAACTTGTGACTGGCCCAAGGTCACACCAGCGGCTGCATGTGGAGGAGTGGGGAATCGAACCCGGCTCTCCCAGATTAGAGTCCCCGCTCCTAACCACTACACCGAACTGGCCCTGGAGGGCAGGACACGTCCAACGAAGACTCCTTGAAATACAGAAAGGCTCCAACTAGACGAGCTTGCGGGACGATCAGGAGGGCAGAATAAGTAGCTGTTGGTTATGTCACTGCCCTCGTGACACGTTTTCCCATGCTGGGCTTTGATGATGTATGGCTATTAGTCATTTTACTTCTCTGACACGGAGACAACGAATGATGCACCCTACCAAACACTGCAGTTTGTTTGCACACTGAGAAATGGACTGCACTTGGCCGCTGGCAGAAAGACTCCTCCTTCCAGGCCTCCCTTTCTGCAGTGGCGTTTTCTCAGGGGTTCAGCGCGGCCCGAGTGGCAAAACAAGGCCCAGACTGACAACCGGGACGTTACCAGGGTGGGGAGAGGGCCCCCCGGGACCTCCTCTTGCTCCCCGTTCCATTCTCTCTCTTACCAGTATGACATGTTATTAAAGTGCTCCGTGAACTGGGTCAGGTTGGGGCTCTTTTCTTCGTTCTGCTCCTTTGCCCACAGCAAGACTTCAGGGATCTGAAAGAGGCAGAAAGGGGAGACCGAGAGTCTTGGAGGGCAGCTACGTTGGTCTGCGGGGGAACAGCCATTGGTCCGATCCAGCAGGGATCTTCTGATGTTCTTATCCTCCACTGACAGAGGCACTGAGCCTCTGAATCCCAGAGCCAGGAGGCAACATCCGGAGAAGGCCTCGTCCCCTGTGCCCTGTTGCTGGCCCTCCAGAGGAACTGGTCAGCCACTGTGTGAGACAGGATGCTGGACTAGATGGACCCCTGGTCTGATCCAGCAGGGCTCTTCTGATGTTCTTATCCTCCACAGACAGAGGCACTGAGCCTCTGAATCCCAGAGCCAGGAGGTAACATCCAGAGGAGGCCTTGGCCTCTCTGCCCTGTTGCTGGCCCTCCAGAGAAACTGGTTGGCCATTGTAGCAGATGGGATGCTGGACTAGATGGACCCCTGGTCTGATCCAGCAGGGCTCTTCTGATGTTCTTATGGGGGAACTACCACAGGAAACGGGCAGCTGGGAGGTCCCGACTCAGGCACTTTGTGGACAGACGTGGCTGGTAGCAAGCATACCTCCAGGGGTCATTTCCTGCAGGAGCGCACAGGAGCGGAGCTCCAGCAGTAAGGAGCCCGGGGGGGTGGGCATCTGCAACAAGCCCCTCCCCCTGCTCCGAGCAGCCCTCAGTCGGGCCACGAGGAGCAAGAAGCAGCCAATAAAGTTGCAGGACCCCCCCCCCAATAGCTAGCAATCCAAAACAGTCCACTGGAGCCTGAGCGGTGGGTGTTGCCTTCTGACACACTTCCGGTGATGTCAGGGGGTGTGTGGCATATGCAAATAAGTTATGCTAATGAGTTATGCCAATGAGCTCCTGCACCTCTTTTTCTACAAAAGGACCCCTGTGGTTGGCCATTGTAGGAGACAGGATGCTAGACTAGATGGACCCCTGGTGTGATCCAGCAGGGCTCTTCTGATGTTTTTATCCTCCACAGACAGAGGCACTGAGCCTCTGAATCCCAGAGCCAGGAGGCAACACCCGGAGAAGGCCCCGGCCTCTCTGCCCTGTTGCTGGTCCTCCAGAGGAACTGGTTGGCCACTGTGTGAGACAGGATGCTGGACTAGATGGACCCCTGGTCTGATCCAGCAGGGCTCTTCTGATGTTCTTATGGGGGAACTACCACAGAAAACGGCAGCTGGGAGGTCCTGACTCAGGCACTTTGTGGACAGACGTGGCTGGTAGCAACCATACCTCTATCTTATAGAAGAGCTCTGCGTCCAGGAGGGTCAGCTGCTCCGCTATCTCGTGGCTATGGAAATCATGGAGGGTCCCGGGTCTGGAAGAGACAAAAGCCAGGGCCTTGAAAGAGGACTGCAAGCGTTTCCCAAACAGCGGGGAAAGTGCACAAGCTGGCGTGAGGCAGAGCATTCAACCCCCCAAGAGAGCCTCCGTTTGAGTTTGTTCTTTCACGAATCAAGGTTCTCAGCGCTCTGGACTGCAAAGACAGGCTTGGAAACACGTCGGCAAAGAGGCCTCACAAAGCCAACGGGGCGGCTGACACTTCTGCTGAAGGGACGGGGCTTCAGCACAGCAGGCAAATCCTTCCCATCATTCACCGGGGCCGCAGAATGCAACTTTTGGGGGGCACACAATGGGGGGTTGGCTTAGCACTGACAGGAGCTTTTCATGCAGGAGGTCCCCAGCTTAACCTCCAGCACCCTCAATGTAAGGTCAGAAATTTGAGGAGCAGCTCCTGGAGTTCCAGAACAGACCGCACTGGGCACGACGGACCAACAGTCTGACTCGGCAGGAGGCGGCTGAATACGTTCAGCCTGTTTTGAGAGGAGGGGCCGTGGCTCGGCGGTCAGACTTTGCACTAAGAAGGTCCCCAGGCCCAACCTCTGCCGTCTGCAGTTCACGGATCTCAGGGAGGAGTGTTGGGGAAGAGCAGCAGCCAGTAAAAATAGACCGTACGGGACTTGAGGGACCAATGCGGGGAGGGCTCCAGGTACACAAAGAACTCTGGGTTGTTTTTTTTAAAAAATGCTGAATCTGTGGAGCCCTGTCCTTGTGCCACTGGAGAACTGGCAACAGGTAAGGGCAACCGAAACGATCAGTTTCTCTCGTAAACAAACACCGTATTCTTTGCTGTCAAATGCCTCCTTGTATTCAACTGGGACAAAAAGGCACTGGATTTTTAGAAATCCAGAAGGTCACAGCTGAAGGGGGAGGAAATAAACAAAATGTAGGCTAACTGAAACGATAGCCTCAAAGAATCAGAAATCAGGTTAAGGTAGGGCGCAAGGAAACTACATGGCTCCTGTCACCAACTCCCCTGACATTTAGGGACCCCACCCAAACAGGGCTCTTCCTGAGATAACTGGACTGAGTTACAGCAATACTACAACCTGGAGGCAGCTCTAAGCACTTTAGAAGAAGAGACTGGATTTATCCCCCGCCCTCCACTCGGAGTCTCAGAGCGGCTTACAATCTCCTTTCCTTTCCCCTCCCCACAACAGACACCCTGTGAGGTAGGTGGGGCTGAGAGAGCTCTTTCCAAAACTGTCCTTGAGAGAACAGCTCTGACAGAACTATGGCTTGCCCAAGGTCATCCAGCAGCTGCAAGGGGAGGAGTGGGGAATCAAACCCCGTTCTCCCAGATTCGAGTCCGCGCACTTCACCACTACGCCAAACTGGCTCTCTCTTAAATGTAACTCAGATTAACTCAACTAACGTCTTCTCAAGTTCTCCCCCCCCCCCCCGGGTTTTTCCTCCCCGTGGTCCCCCCCCCCGGCTTTCCTGACCTGGCTGCCACCCCCCGGGCCGAGAGGGGCTTGATTGAGTTGGTGTATAGCAGAATTTTCTTCTGATCGACTTTGTCGAGGATGTTGTTGCGTAAGACCCGGGCAAGGCTGAGCTCCCCGTTGCAGACCAAACGGAAGACCAGATCCATCAGCAGCTTCAGGATCTCCTCTGTCAACTCCACCAAACTGAGGAAAGCAGAAAGGGGTAAGAAATCCAGAGTTTTAGTCCCTAAAAGCCATCAGGTTAAAAACACTGCATTCAGGTCAACGACTAGGCAGCCGAACGTGATCCGCGTTAAGCGTAGAATTTGGTATTTGGCACGGAACTCTGCACCCTGCGTAGAATTTGGTATTTGGCACGGAACTCTGCACCCTGCCAATCCGAGCTTCTGTTTATTTAAAAAAGAAAAAGCCAGTTGGCTAGCCCTCAAGACTACAGAGGACAGTTTCGCAGCCCACTGAGGACTTGGGGCCCTTGGGGCCCTTCCTCCATGCATGTGTCCAATATCTGTATGGGGAAGCAGATGAATGGCATGTGCCTTACAACTAGCAAAAGGTCAAGTATGCACAATAACTGCAATTAAGATAGAGCTTATTGTAAATATAGTAGGAAAAACCACACCCACACCCATTTCCTTGAAACAAACAAACAAAAAAAGCCCAGCTGCTGGGTCCCGGCTCTTTGTCACGCTGCACCATGACGAGAGCATGGAGCCAGGGAGGGGCTAGGAAGCGGAAGGGGGAAAGGCGAGGGAGACACAAGCGGGCCAGATGGCTCCTGCCGAAACGAAACAGGCCACAGCCGCCACACCCTCTATGGCGAGGGCAGTCCTGTGACGGAAGCCCACAAGATTTACTAGCCGGCAACAGTGTTTTACAAACCAGTTTCCCCACGTGTGTGCGTGTCAGTGATCTGTGGTGCACAGGTAGTCCCGAGAAGCAGGGGTGGATGAAGGCTCACTGGTGCCCGAAGCACTGACCCATCTTGGTGCCCCCCCTCCTTTCCACACTGACCCCCAGTCCATTTTAGTCGTTGACCTGTCTGACCAGATATACAATGCAGGTTGCAGCAATACAAAAATGTATTCATTGGATAACACAATAATAAGAGAAGAAGAAGAGATTGGATTTTTACCCCGCCCTTCACTACCCAAAGGTGTCTCAAAGCGGCTTACAAACTCCTTTCCCTTCCCCTCCCCACAACAGATACCCTGTGAGGTGGGTGGGGCTGAGAGAACTCTGACACAAACTGCCCTTTTTCAAGGACAGCTGTGCCAGAGCTTGTGACTGACCCAAGGTCACATCAGCAGGTGCAAGTGGAGGAGCGGGGAATCAAACCCGGTTCTCCCAGATTAGAGTCCGCGCACTTAACCACTACACCAAACTGGCTCTGTACAAACTGTACTAACTGTACAAACTAAGCCAAGCTTGGCCTACATAAAGTTCTTTTCACCCTTGCCCCAACTTTGTGGTGCCCCCTTTGGCCCTGGTGCCCTAAGCACGTGCTTAGTCTGCTTAAGGGTTAATCCGCCCCTGCCGAGAAGCAGAAAGAAAGAACCCACCTCTGTCCACTTCAGGCCTCCCTCCCCTCTTGCCGGCCACTGGTACCCACCCCGGGAGGCCAGGCGGGCGGCTACTGGCAGCTCTAGCGCATGGGGACTTCCTTCCTCCCGAGTCCTCCTGGCCTCTGCTGAGAGGGACCCCGTGCTACAGGGCAACAGGGACCACCCTCCGGCCGTCATCACAGTCTCCGTTTGGCGGTGTGTGTAGGGGGGGGGGGGGGGGGGGAAACAGCCACTCACCACAGCTCATCCACCACTCGGACCAGGACGAAGAAAGTGTTCTTGCTGACCCGCTTCTTGAACGTGTCCGGACAGTGGCAGAACTTCTCGTATGTGGGGGGGGGGATCAAGTTAAAGGATTAACGAGACAGAGGTGGGCCGCGCGGCCGACTCGGCGGCCAACAGACAGGGAACCCGAGGGGAGCCCCCGGACACGACCCCCGGGTTTGGACCCATGCACAAAGACACACATGCCAGTATTGGTTTTTCCAGCCCCATTCAGACGCCAGACCATGTGATTTCACTCTGGCCATGGCAGCCCTCTCACAAACACTTGCTGAACAGCCGCGGGCGGGGATGCTTCGCGGGTGCACTGCCGTGCACGAAACTGGCCGCATGCACCGTTCCCAGCAGAAGGGCCGCACGCCACCTGAGGCGGGAGATCAGCGATCGGGATCTCTCGCCTCTTTGCGTGGGCTGAAGCAGGCGTGTGAAAGGCCGGGGGATTCGGACTGGGACCCCGGCAGGGTCTCAGCGGCGAGTCACTCTGCCAAAGCAGCCATCGGCTCTGCTGGGGGAAACACCCCGGGAACGTGTAGAATACAGCACCGACAGCGGGAAGAGAAGGCATGGGCCGCGGGCCGGTGTGTGAGGCCTGACGCCCCCTCCCACAGGACCACTGCCCCCTTTCCCAGCTGAGCCTGCCTTCTTGCTTGCCTTCGGAGGAGGGTTTCCATGATCTGGGAGATTGTCGGGGGGTCTGCCCCCGCCCCCCCCCCCCCCCCCGCAGGCGGCGCGGCGCCCTCTCTCGCCTGAGGCATGGCTGACAAGGGCCTGTTAGAACCGGGGGGGACCCAGCAGCCCCAACAGGAAGAAGAGGGAAGACGGGCCCCGCCCCTTCTCGAGCCATGGGGCTTCCTGTAGAGCCAGCACCCAGACCTGGCAGGGGACGGGGGCGGAGCCAAGCCCGGGAGCCTGCCCCACCCGACGCTGAGGGAGGAGAATCGAGGATGCAGCGCTCAAGGGGCACAGCTGCAGACCCTCTTCCCCTGCCCCTCTGAAGGGAGACGGGGATTGGTGGGAGAGGGGAAGGGGTAGACGGGGAGGCGGGTTTAAGCCAGGCAGCTCGGGGCAGGACGGGGAGGAAGAGCGCACGTCTCTCGATGGGGAAGCAGGACGACTGGAGAGAGAGGGTACCCGAGAGTGCGTGAGCGGGAGTGAGGTATAAGGCTGAGACTACCCCCCACCCCCAGCTATATCCGAGGCCTGCCATCCCGTCACTGCCAGCTACAAAATCACAACCCAGAGTCCCCAAATCCAAGAGCGATCGCCCCGGAGGAGCCAGGACCTGACAGAGACCAGCGTAGTTTGGCCCTGGGACACCGTCTCAGTTGTAGCGACTGAGGCTAGAGCTGCCTCCCCCTGCCCCGCAGATCTTTGCCACTCTGCCTTGAGACCGCAGGGAGAAGGTTAGAAACAGGGGTCATTTCCTGCGGGAGCGCACAGGAGCGGAGCTCCGGCAGGAAGGAGCCCAGGGGGCGGGCACATGCAACAAGCCCCGCCCCCCGCTCCCAGCAGCCCTCAGTTGGGCCACGAGGAG